TCGGATGAATTTAGGGTTCCAAGCAATGACGATGGACCGTATAGCTCAGGCTCTCTCTCTGTCATTGTTTTTGGCGCGCGTCAAGTATCCAGATATCCTACATGTACATACTTTTGCTTCGGCCAGTGACCGTCTCCCTTGAGAGTGCTCTTTCCTTCAATGTCCAGCGGCTGTCTCTGTCAGGTTGCCTTGAAAGACCAGATCAGAGTGTTCCATCCAAGAGGATTTCAGGATTGATACAGAGGCATGACAGCGGCGGCCTTCGTAAATCCAAGCAAACTATACCCTATAGATCTGGGCGGGGGTGCAATTCATTGATTGCTGCTTGCAACGGTTTTTGTGCAGCAAACCCTTAGCAGCCATAGCCAACAACTTTCCAACAGGTCGGGGCTGTATCCTTCAGGACATTTGGCCTGACTGCACTCAGCCATCTCCAGGCATATGATCTTTTCTTGTCAGACTGTGCTCTGTCAATAGCGACCGTTTGATACGATTCAACACGGTGGTCCATGAGCGGGTCCAGAACCTGCTCGGACGCCCATTCCTAAATCAGTCCGAGTGGGATGGGTTCCTTATGACCGCTGACACTGTTTGGTGGTCCAGTCTCTGACTGAGCGGCATTACATGTGACGTATGAGAACCAGTGCATTAAAGGCTGACCATCAGGGTCAATTCATGCTGCAAGCGACCTGGTCAGACTTGCGTCATGGCGCAGGCAGAGCACTACGACGGAATGCAGAATTACGAGATTGTGAAGACAATTGGGTAAGGCGACCTCAAGCAGCATCAGGAAAACGTGCCTTGATGTTACTCTCTTGGTGCCCCTCATGCTGCACTGGACCATACCAATGCAGCAGATTGCCAATCTGGTTTTTGAGTCAAGCCCAGCTCAAAGCACTGCCACATGATAGCCACCTCATGCATATGCTGAGTTTCTTTTCCTGTCTCTGCAGTCATGGCAGCTACGGCACTGCCTACCTGGTTCGTGATGTGTCCAACAAGACGCTTTATGCCATGAAGAAGATCGTGCTCTCTGACAGCAATCATGCAGACCGGGACGCAGCATTGCGCGAGGTGCGCCTCTGCACCCGCAGCTGAGGCTGACGAGGCGCCACCTAGAACAGACAGCCTGCTGGAAAGTGCACGATGGTTGGCAGGAGGATGTCGACGCACGCTCTGTCTGTTTCCGGCCCCCACAAGTGCTTCTGGCCTTGGCACCTGACTTCTTTGGGTACATGCATTTGCTATGCAGGCGCGGGTGTTGCAGACCCTGAAGCACCCCAATGTACTGGGGTACCGCGAGAGCTTTCTGCATGAGAACAGCCTGCACATCGTAACCACCTACTGCGAAGAGGGGGACCTCTTCCAGCGCATCCGTGCAGCAGCCAAAAAGGAGGAGTACTTCTCCGAAATGGTGACCTTTATAGACTCCTGGGACTCAAGTGTCGAATTCTGCTTTTGAATGCTAGATGCTTTGCAAAGCGGATTGTTATTCGAGATAGTTGGCACCCATACATTTCAGAAGACCAGGAATAAGAATCTAGCAAAGGCCCACTTGATGAGCTGTCGCCTACTTTGAATCCGTCTCTCTCTCTCGTTTAGCGGCTGACCTGGAGTCCTTCTGCTAACACTAGTGCGTGGACCTGGTGCAGCAAATTCTGGACTGGTTCGTGCAGATTGCCATGGTAAGTCGCTCTGCCCAAGGCAAGCCCCAGTTTCGGCTGTACATAAGTCTGGTCACCGACTGCGAGTCTGGAGTCCTGCACAGTTCACAATTGAGGTTTTCGTACCAATCTTGCATTCTTCAAGTGCGGTCTGGAAGGAGGCGTCTTACTGAGCCGTGACCCTCATACGTTGTTGCAGGCGTTGCAGCATATCCACAGCAAAAAGATCCTGGTAAGTAGCAACGAGGGCCTCCTGGGTACTTCTTCGTTCCACTCATCCAAAGTGATGTTGCGACAATTTTCAGATTTCCATCTCTATCGATAGTACCCAGACACGCTGATGACGGTTTGGTTCGGCACTCTGATCTTTCTCTAAAACGCTTGCCCGTTTCTTTGCAGCATCGAGACTTGAAAACACAGAACATCTTCCTGTGTAAAGGTGGGGTTATAAAGATCGGGGACTTTGGCATCTGCAAAGTGTTGGAGCACACCAACGACTACGCCAACACGGTCACTGGAACGGTGAGGCCACAACCGCTTGCCCGGACCCCGCTGCTTCATTGTCAACTGCATCAATTGTGCCGAAGTGGAGTGACCCAGGCCAAGGTTCCAGGTCTAGTTTTCCTCCTCTGTCAAGGACGAGGCCATTGGAACGTGTGACGGTTCCGTTGCTCGTTGTGCTGACGCGGTGCGGTGCGCTTGGGTGCAGCCGTTCTACATGGCCCCAGAGTGCGTGCAGAGCGTGCCATACACGTACAAGTCGGACCTGTGGTCGCTGGGCTGCGTGCTCTACGAGATGGCCATGCTCAAGCACGCCTTTGACGCGGGCAACCTGCTCAGCCTGGTCTACCAGATCGTGCGCGGCACCTACCCGCCCCTCCCGCCGCAGCGCTACTCCCCCCAGCTCGCGCACCTCGTGCGCAGCCTGCTGGCCAACAACCCCGCGGACCGGCCGCCCGTCTCGACCGTCCTGCAGATGCCCTGGCTGCAGCAGCACATGGCCTCCGCACAGCAACGATGGTCAGGCCCCTTGCGGATAGACTGGCTCCAACGGGGCATTTGCGTTGCCGCTTCAAGCCATCCTTCATTTTTGACTGACTCTTGGAGTGCAAGAAAGAGTACCACGCAACGTTCTGATTGACACGCACTGGGTGCTGCTTGTGTTCTAAGTTTGAGAATGTCAGTGTCCTCTTACGCGGACCCGACTTTGTGCTTTCCGATCACATCGTCAAGGGCCCTTTCGGGGATGGCTCGACTCGCTTTGCTGTTTTGTTCCTGGTCCAGAGACATGAAAGCCCGGTCACCCATACTCTCCTTTGCTTTCCGCAGGGCCTCGAGCCAGCTGAAGACGATCCGCGTCGACCGCGGCCCCGGCTTGGCCGCCTCTGCGGGCCTTCAGATCGGGGCTGGAGGCGAGGTGAGCCGCCGTCCCGTGCGCACCGCGACCAGCCCCGACGGCAGCAAGGCGCTGTCCCCACAGCAGCGGCTGGTGGCGCGCAAGCTCGCGCAGAGTGCGCAGCGGGAGGCGGAGCTCATCCGGGCCAGCTCCGAGAGCATCCGCGCGCGCCAGGTCGCCAAGAAAAGGTTCCTCCAAGAGGTGTGTCCTCGCTGTCATGCTGAAACAGATCGCTCCTGAACCAAGTTTTGACTGAACGGTGACTCCCAGCACGTCTGACGACGCGTGTGAGTACGTACGTGGTCCATCACGCCCGTATCCTGTTGACTGAGCGCGGGTGTTTGTGCGTGCCCCAGTTTTACCGCGGCGGTCACGAGGTGGATGCCGGCCAGGTGGACGACGACGCCACGCCTAATATGGCCACGTGCCGCCTCGACACCGCCCCGCGCTCGCGGAGCGACCCCACGCCAGACTTGGGCAGTGAGCGGGTGAGGCGCCTAAGCACCGGGATACTTTTGTACTGCTCGCCGTTGTGGGAGAGTCGTGCAGCTCTCAGAGGGAGCGCCGTTGTGCGACGCGAGCGTGGTGGCGGTGCTGCTGTGCTGGCTGTCCTCTGAGCTGCGCGTGTTGGCTGTGCAGCAGCCGTGGGGCAGCGCGGAGTGGGCCGCCGACGCAGCGGATGACGACGCCGTGATGCTGGGGACCATGACGGGCGGGGAGGACGACCGGCCCACGCACCCAGGTAGCACCCGCGCCGCACGCGGCACACTACCCGCCGCCCGCCGGCGGGTCAGCGAGTGCTCGCGCGCAGTCTTAAGTCCGCTTAGGCTTTCAGCTGCCGATCAAACGGCCAGTGAGCGAGGCGTGTCATCGTGGGCCTTGCGAGCTGCTTGCCGTGCCTTCACCTCGGCGTGCTCCTGCAGGCGACTGGGAGCGGCACGCAGAGCGGGGCAACAAGGCGAGCAGCAGTGGGCGGGCGAAGGAGGCGGACGAACAAACCGGCTTCGACTGGGATGAGGTGAGCGCCAGCCAAAGGGCACCAGGCTGCCGACGAACGGCTAGCGATGCGCTTGCTACCGGGGCAATGGCAGAAAAGCCAGCTAAGCGTGTGGTACACGGTGGAAGAATGGCACAGTCAATCTCGCCTACGTCATCCGAGCCACTTCTAACCGCCAGAGCCTTCGAACTCCGCATCGGCGCATTTCTTGCAGGACCGGAGGGTCCTCTACTTCAATATTGCACGCGCACTTTTGTCTCTCACCAGCTAAGAGCAAGCTCGCCCAAACAAACATGCTTCACCTTCGTCTTCTGCCCACGCCCTGACGCGCGTGTACCGCGTATTCCCAGCTCCGTCTGACGCCTCAACCCCCGCTGTTCCTAGGTTCCTTGTACAGCGGCCGCGGCGCACAAGCAGGCACCCGTCGGCGGCGCCCGACCCCACAGCAGCGGGCCAGCCGGGCCGGGCAGCAAGGCGAAGAACAGGTGAGTATGACAAACCCAGCGGGCGCTCCACGGCACAGCGAGAAGAGCACCTGCTGCCAATACTCCAAGGCCAAAGACGCCCCTCAGTGAATGCAGCCATGAGCGATGGAACATGGTAACCTTGTCGTCATGTTGAGCATCTTGGCAAAAGGTGTAAGGACGGACATAGGCTAGGGGCCGAAGCTCTTGAGAGGCAGCTATCGATACATTCTTCCGGCTCCAACGCAAATGCCAAACGTTAAGAATGGGGTCGTCAGGCTGCACACAAAGCCGGTCCTCTACGAACGTAAGAAGACGCGTGCGTTTACTCTCAATTGAGATCCGACATTGAGATCCAATGAGGCAGAAGCGTCAACGATGCGTCAGCATCATTTGTCCCCCCGTAGGGCTAGTATCCACATACATATGTGGCACCGCCTTGGTCGCAGATCCCCCCAGGTTGCGTGACCAGGAAGGTGCCGTTTCATTGTCAAATCATCCTTCTTGAGAACATAGAACTCTGCAGGCCTGCAGGCCGGCAATAGACTCCGGAAAATGATGGTCTTTACTGCGTTCGCCTCCGCTGACTGACCCCGCGTCGCCCTGTTCCAGGTCCCGCGAGCCGGTGGAGCGCAGCACGCTGGGGTCCACGGTGACGGCCGCCCCGGGCATGGGCATCGCCGCGGCGCGCAAGGTGGGCGCACCCGTCAAGCAGCCCGAGGCCGGCAGGCGAGCCTGGAGCGCGCAGCCGGGCCAGAGGCACGGGCCGGACGTGGAGCAAGATACGGTGAGGGATCCCCGCGGCCAACCCTTGCGCCAGACACGGTGGGGGCCAGTCGCCGTTCCCCCGTTTCATGAAGGGGCCTGGCGAAAAGTTGAAACGAAGATTGTTTGTGAGGGGTGGGCACTAACGTCAACGTCATGCAGCTCGCGACATGGCTTCGGATGGAGAAGAAGGAGGGGCTGGTGCACGGCCTGCCCTTGAGCGGTGTCTGCTCCACTGCACGAGCTGATGTGGCGTGGTGGCGTCGCTGACTTGCTGCGGGCCACGTGTTGGCGTGCAGGCATCCGACGGCGGCGACGGCGAGGTGGTGTACGAGGACGACTTTGAGGAGTACAACCCCGCGGAGGACGGCCGCGCCGACGTGGCCGCTCTCATTGGGAACCTGCACCGCCAGCTGCACAGCGACAAGAAAGGTGCGCCCCGGCCGCCCCAGGACGCGATTCGCTGTGCCGCCCTATGCAGTCTTGGCCACACAGGTACTGGCCCGAAGAACGTTGTGACTTTGTTGTCGCCTGGATTTGGTACGAGAAGAGTCTCTTGTAAGTGTCTGGCTGTGATCTGATGCTGTGTGCCTGTCTTGCCGCCCTGTTGCTGGCAGAGGCGGAGTGCTCGGTGTCCGACACGTTCGTGAGCAAGGACCGGGCCAAGCGGGTGGCCAACCTGGAGCAGCGCTGCCGGGAGAAGCTGGGAGACGGCCTCTTCAAACAGGTGCGCCGCGCGGCCAGCCGGCCCCTCCGGCTTCCCACAACGTACATGAACCAGAGACGCAGGCCAGACTGAGCGCCGCCAGGCTAAAGCACCCCGGCAGAGTAGCAGTGGGGGATATCGTGGTGGCGTGAACGGGAAGCTGTTCCCTGCTTGACTGCCCCTCGCAGCGCCGTCCAGCCTTGCCTGTCTGCCGACCCTTGCCTGTGGTGCTCATCAGGTGTACAAGTACCTGCGGCGCGTGCGGCAGGCGGAGGCGGCGGCAAGTACGAGCGAGGCGGACATCCAGGCCACGCTGCAGGAGCTGGCGGGGAAGCAAAAGTACCACGACTGCTTCCTCGTTGACCAGCTCGTCTTCCTGCAAGCCTGACGGGGGGCCGGCCACAGAGCCCACGAGCAGTCGAGCAGCAGCCTGTGCAACCCAAAACATACTCAGTATAGTCCACGTACGTTGTTGTTATCCATGTTCGTTAAAACGAGTTGAAAATGGAACGTATAGTTTTGATCGTCGACTTTGTGCAATCGGCAAGATGCATATCGCATTTGTCATGGATGATAACCGGTTATATATTACATATGTATATGGCGTATGGAAGCTGCCACTTCAGGTATGACTCAGATTGGTCGACACATTGAATGCCTCCATAGTAACTTTGGAATGCAGAACTGTACCACAAGAGCTAGCTCGCATTAGCGGGCGCGGGGGCGCGATAGCTGCTCGGAAATGGAGCTCCGCCGCGTGCCAGCCAGCTTTCTGAGTCAACTATAGCTAATAATCATATGAGCGTACGTGTCACCAATATGTTATCTATCAGTATACGTGACACCATGAAATACTGTATAATGAGGCGCGCTGGCTATTCGATCAAATGCACGTATCATTAGTACGGTGACGATGCACATGGTTATTCTAAACATACCGTCTCTTCATGCATGAGCAAACAATGTTGGATTGTATACATTAAGCGCATGGCGCATGCAATCAACAAACTTAAGCACAGTGCCACAGTGGCGGCTGCGTGGCTCATGCCGAGATGCTAGCAAGCCGCCATGCATCACGTCCAACAGCTGAGCTCTGATGCAAGTTACCTTCGGTAACATGAACCGGAATCTTAGCAACCGTATCATATCACCTGCAGTGACACTGACATTTTCAAGAGGCTGCTGCAGACTTGTACAGTATACCGTCTCAAACTTAGAATGTGCATGGATTTCAACACGTACACGAGTGACTTCTTTCCTCAAAACAATTTCTGACAAGATCTTAACCAGCCGTTAGACTTGGCTCTTCCAAGGCTCGGCAAAGATCACAAGCAAGGCAACACCAGTCAACGTTTCTGTCACCGAAGCTTGCTTTGTAGGGGCTTGCGAGCTACGAAGAAGTACATGGGGGTGAAGAGCTCTTTCCTGCACGAGCACACGCGATCACCGAAGGGTGAGCATACGAAGTAAGAGCATCAGAGGGTCCTTATTGATGAGGACTCTGAATCCGTTTGGACTCGATACAGTTGCAAAAGAGCTGCCAATCAAGGAAAATAGTGACGTGGTTTCCTGAACATCTTTAGAGGGGCCAAACACCGGCCCCGGCAGGTCACTTGGTAACGAGGTAGTTCAGACCGTTTGAAACGTGCGACTCTCAGATTACACAAAGCTGTAGCTCCTTGCCAGAGGGTGCAGATGTGATATGTTCCCCCGGGTCTTGCCCGGGTTGTGGTACAGCAGCACACTCACCGGCCGCCCTCGAGCAGGCCGTCCGCGCCCTTCTCGAGGAACTCCTGCACGCGCACGCTGCCGCCCGGCGCAATGCGGACCTTCTCCAGCAGCTTGACGGCGTTGCGAGTGAGGAAGCGGCCCATCCAGTGGCGGGCGAAGTCCTGCGGGGTGCGCAACTCCCACAGCGCGGGGCCCAGCGGCTGCCACCACGGCACCTCCGCAGTCAGGGTCAGGTCCGCCGCGTCAAGCACCTGCGGAGCAGCGGCGCAGCAGCCAGCCAGGGTGAGCGGGGGGACGGCCACAGCGGAACAGCGGAGGACTCATTTCAAGAACCGGAATCCCAAGGCCTAAACAGGGTCCATGCATTTCGCACGACGAGCAACGTTATGCGTCGCAGTGTCAAAGTATAGCATGACATGAACATGATGTGGCAACGCCGATAACGCCCTGAAGCTGCCTGAGGTCCCTTGCAGAGCGGATTGCTGAATCTTGAAAGAAAAGAGGTGGGAGTGATGGGTGCGGCCTCACCTCGAAGCCTGCTTCCACCAGCGCTCTGCGGCACTGTGCCACAGTTTGCAGGTCAGGCAGCCCATTGCCAATCTCAATCTCCGACTGCACAGCGCAACGAGAATTTAAGGATCCCAGGAATCAAGACTCCCTCTAAGTTAAGAAGGCGTGTCTTGAAATGATTGTTACAACGCTATCGGCCGGAGCTACGACATCCTGGCCTCATGGGGCATGCACTTTTTGACGAGAGTGCGAAGACATGCATGCCTGATTAGGTGATTGGTCTCGATTCCATCTCTGACACCTTCAAGGATGCTTTGTCCGTCCCATGACTAACGCGCTCCTTCTTTTCGGGAAATGGGCTCGTGGCCGCCTGCATTAACGAGGGCAAAACGGTCCTTCACATCACAAACAAGTGAGCAGGTACATGAATGTCTCCTGCACACTTCCTCAGGAGCCCAGGCGACTGCAAGCGGTTGAAAATCTGGTACGGCGGCGCTGCCTCACCTTGATCCGGCGGTGCTCAGCATTGTCGGCATCAAAGCTGGCGGTCATGCACCACTCGTACCCGGCAAAGCAGCCCCCTGGCTTGAGGACGCGCAACAGCTCCCGGTAGCAGTTCACCTGGACACCAGCCGGGCAAGGTCAGCACGGCAGCCTTTGCCAGTTTCAGCGAACCAGTTGCATCTACGGGGGCTTTGCTGGGCAGAGAGAAAAGCAAGTGCTGGATAGTAGCATCGGATCATGTAACAACAGCTGTCTCAATTCTGACCAAACAATTTCTGCAGCAGCAGGCTGGCTGTGAGTGTGGAGGAAGGTCTGGAGGCGTGAGCCACCGCTGAGGTCCCAGGCAGGCAGACACACTCACCGGCTCAGGCGCATGGCAGGTTGCCTCAATCTCATAGACGGCGTCATACGTGTTGTCCGGCTGGGGGATCTTCATGAAGTCTGCCTGCAAGAGCAAGAGCTTTTCTGACGTCAGCATGCAGTCATATCTCCAGCAGCGGCCTGCACAACACATGATCCACAGCACCTTGCATAAGAACCTGTAGTGGCTTTGAATGAGGTTTGGGAAACTGACTCCCCATGTCGAAGGCCAGCTTTCTCTTGTGAAGTTGGGAGACGAGGGCGGGAGGCTTACTTTGAGAAAGTTGCATGTCTTGTCTAGGCCAAAGTAGTGGTTCAACGCCTCCCCTCGGGTAATCTGGTATGCATTGTTGTTCAAGCCTGTGATGGATGCCCCACTGCAGATCAGACCGCGAGGCAATGAGTCAGCAAATCGCGAACGAGCCAGGCTGTTGCGTGGGCTGTAGTGCCAACAGTCGTACTTAACACAGAGTTGAAAATAGTCTGAAGCTTGCTTGCTCTGGTGGTGGCAGCGCACCTGAAGATGGCAATCTCCCGCAGCGGGCCCCCGATGCCGCAACCCACGTCCAGCACCTTGTCGCCTGGCTTCAAGCCCAGCTTGAGAGCCAAAAAGTGCTCATGGCGCCGGATGCTGTCGCGCAGTGTCTCATTGCGCACTCTGCAAGGAGGCAAAGACATTGGAGGGCGCAAGGAGGGGCAGAACAATGGGCAGCAGCACAGTGGTAACAAGAAAAGGGCAAGAAGAATCTCACAATTGTGCACACAACTGTCAGAGGGGACGCTCTGCGAGAGACCGACCTGTGGGCAAAGTGGAAGGACTCCCCCCATCCATATTCGTAGAAACTGGTGGCCAGATCATAGTATCGGTTCACCTGCAAACAGGGACAAAGTCGATAAGCAGCGTACACTGATCTCAGATGTGTAGAATTGAGGCTGCGCCGCGTGGCCGCCAATTTTGACTGGAGAAGCGTGGATAGCAAGTGGTGCACACCTGAGCGAGGTGCCAGGCTCACCATGTCAGCGTAAGACGCCTTCCTGGCAGCCACATCGCCCCCATGGAGGCTGTGGTACTTCTCATACCTGCAGCACGGGAAGGTGGAGACAGAGGGGTAAACAAATGCATGAGTACAAGGCGAAAAAGCAAACTAGTGCTTGACCACCATCTCAATGATGGGAGCTCAAAGATGTGCTAAACGCCCGTTGCGTGGGGCAATGAAGGTTTGCAAAGGGTGACCAGGTAGTCGACTTGCAGTGCATTTTGTGCGAAGCATGGAGACCCAGTTGCTTGAAGGGGAGCATTACCCCAGTGGTTCCTCATGGACTACAGGCTTCATTTGATCCTGACCTTCAAATTGACGTAGATCTACTGATTCAGGTCTCGCATCACCCTCAAAATAAGGTGCTATCAGGTATGACAGTGCCCTGCTTAAGGCTAAAGGCACAACGGCTTAGAAGCACCAGCATCAAGCTTTCTTGCTAAAGGTAGCAGAAGCTAAGGAGCAGATCCATCAAGGGACTCGTGATCTCCTACAATGGGTCTGCAAAGACACAGCCTTGCCCGATCCAGCAGAATCTGATGGGCAACTTTCAGACGTATTCCTAAGAACAAAGCGACAGATGCGCACCCATCAACTGCTCCTTCCACTTGATCTTTCCCCCTGAGCCCGCCTGTGTTGCTGACAAGCCCGACCGCCCCGGTGAGCTCCCCGGAGTAACTCCCCATGCTTATAACCCTACTGTAAGGAATTATCCTGCCAGGTTATCAGAATTTTGATCTTGATCGATCAAGCGTCTTCCTCCTACGTTCGAAGCTTTTCTAGGCTCTAAACAAGTTGGTCGCCCTGCACAAACTGTGCTCTTGAGTTTCAAATTTTGTAACCCTCCGAGTCCACCTGGAGGTGGTGTTGCCGGTGCGGTCTCCTTCGGTTTAAGCCTTTAGGAAGCGCAGAGCCGTTTCCTTTTGAAACCCTAACCCTAATAGCGACGTCAGCAAGCTTTCAGCCACATCCATGCTTCTTCAAGAAGTTCTTGTATTCTCGATCATTTACATGGTTCAGGGGCAGTTCTTTCAAGTTTTACAACAGCGCTAGCGGCAGAATGGCGGTCCTAGCACTCCACAATCCTGTTGCCGCCCCTCGTTGCACAGCAGCTGTTGCGGGAGGTGGCGAGCATCGCTGCGACCCGCTTGTTGTTGTTCGAAACTGCTCCCGCGTGTTGGTGCCACAAGCAAGTAGACCAAGGTGGCCACTGGTGTCTTTGGGGTCAGGTTGCAAGGGACTGGATGATGGATCCAAAAGTTTGCATGGGCGGGTGTTACGCAGGCACCATCGAAGCGTACAGATGTCCGCAGGTGGCAGCGTTGACGTGCCCGTCATTGTGGGGACAGTTGGTGAGCACAGTGGAGACAAGTCATCCTGTTGATGGATGGGGCTGAGTGTGCTGTACCGTCGTGTCCAACACTACTGCACCAAACTTGATGGCGATTGAGCTGCAGACGCTATCAGCAACTCCACTTGATTTCTTCGTGATGCCAGCCTGCAATGCTGTGACTTTGACCTGGTACCCCTGCAGGTCGATCCAGCTACAGGCCTGGCTTATAAGGTGTTAGTGTTGTCTTAATCATTTCAACACCCAGGTTGTTTTTGCACGTGTGCAGCTGGCGTCACTCCTTTCGTAGTTGCGGGCATTGAGTTTAGCAAACGGATTGTAAGGCTCTTTGCAGACTGACTTTAGAGCTATCCGTCAACATGGTCTTTGCACTTGCATGCGAGGTTGCTGAGCATTTCAGTTGCATCATACTCTGCTGCGGTCAATGATGCTGTTTCTTACTGATGTTCATCGCCTTTGGGCTGGTTGAAGCATTTGGTTTGCCCAATCTTAGGCCGAAAAGTACCTTGCCAGCAGTCGCTACTCATTTGAGAACAATCTGTCTTTGCTTACCCAGGTTCAACAACGGCGATGTGAGGTCTGTAAAGGTTCAGGGTTGGTGCTTAGAGGACGTTATTATCGACGCTGCAATGCATGTGGTGAGTATGTACTTGCATTGAAGTATGTCGGAATGGTTCTGCTTCTCTCTTGAAGTTCCTTCAGTTGTCATACTTTGCACTACAGCATGGGTTTGGCAATGTTGCGTAAGTACAAAAAGGCCGGATGTTTCTTAGTCCATCGTAGCCAATCCTGTGACTTTACTTGGCAAGTTCAGCTTTCCAGTCACGAGAGAGTCTCATGCCACCGTGAGTCGAGCAATTGAGCTGGATAGACCTTTGGTGCAGGTGGATTCCTTCCATGGCAATCTTGGAAGCGCTTCTTTGACATTAATGGGTGACAATATAATAGAGCCTTCAGCGGAGTCCATATGCACTAAGCCCAGTATTTTTGTACAATATACAGCGGAAACAAACAATTGCAAATGTGATGTCATGCCTGCTGTCCCGTCATCAGGTGATTCGTGCCAACCGTTGTCTTTCGGATGCCCCATGCTGGGCGCCTAAATTTGGAAAAGCAGGTAACACTCTCTTCAATCGACAGGATTCCAATGCTAGTGCGGCATCGGAGGGCCGCAAAGGGTTCGTGCCATATCATCAATTGCATCCGATTGTTTTAGCCGAAATTTTGACAATCTTTCTGCGCCATATTGCAATCTTATCATTATGAATTAGTAGATGCATTACGGCATAATCTATGTACAGGATCTGTCGAGTAGCTAAGTCTGTGCATGCACCAATGTGCACATTACGACGCACATGGAGTTTTAAGTAGGAGAACCGTCGACTTATAAGTGTGCCTATCATTCATGCGGCTCCTCGAACCGGATCAAATATGAACAATTAACAATTATACCATATACAGGCCGCGCTGCCGCCCAGGAACAATCACTCGTGACTTCAAGCTAGCATGCAGTACGTTTAGGTTATAAGGAATCGGAGGGAACCCGGGTGCGCCCGCACGGGCCCCCGCCTATGACTATGTAATGAATCACTCAAGGAAGTGAGTCTCTCTAAGCTAACGTCCGGGATCGACGGCCCGGGCCGTAGCCTAGGGCCCCCGAGTATAGGCCTACTACCTGCAAATATGCATACATGTATACATACATACATACATACATACATACATACATACATACATACATACATACATACATACATACATACATACATACATACATACATACATACATACATACTTCTTTTATAAGCCGGCCGTAGCGGTGAACTTCGGAAGCCATGGACCTGGGAAATATAGTACGCTTTTGTGCGAGTCCTGGACGCTGATTCAAAAAGCTACTCTACGAAAGTGCATGCTGCTTGTATACACTACACTGACAGCTTGTATCAATTTGGCAGATCATCGACTACTTGCATACCAATGACCAAAGACAGAGCAAGCCTAGCGTGTAGAGCCGGGAAAGAGCTCCTTTTGGTGGTCCAAAACTCTCAACAAAATGGTGCATAAATCATTCATCAAACCGGCCCGGGTATAGTACGTGGCCCGGCCAGCCTTAATGCAGCGGTGCATGGGTCAGTGCACGCAAACTTTCAGCCGATCATGGCCGGCGCGGCAGGGCAGCTAGACGGGTCTTGCAAGTCGGAGTTTGTCAAGTTTCAAATTGTCATTTTCATTTCGTAGCTCTCACATGCAGAGCAAATCCAATCGAGATTGCGCACACTCATCCGTACACATATCGGTGACCATTCTGAAATGTAACTATCAACTAGCTATAGTGATTTCTCTAGAGTCCGACCTTTTTAGCAAGAAACCGTATACAAAGGGATTGATAGCCGTTTGAGGCCGTACCATCCGATCCATGTTCGTCCTAAGAAGGAATAGGGCTCCACGAGGGATGGTTAACTAAGGTTGTTGCCCGGCACACCGTTCCTCCCTCAGACGTTTATCGGACGGGACTTATATACCAATGGCGCGTTCACAAGCAGAACCTCGATGCAAGTTGTTAGTTGCCGACGACTTTCTCTGAACAACCGGTAATCATTTTCGGCCGGGCCGCTTTATCTGCATTTGCCTGTTACGGCAGACTGGATCTTCCCGAGCACCATTGCTGGTTTGTCGTAATACGAACCACTCCATGCAGACATTATGAAGATCCTGCTGGCTAGGCTGTGGCATCTTCCGTCCACTCGCAACCAGTTGTTTACAACATACCAAAAGGTAGAGACCTGCATAATGCCATGTGCGCGAGCGCTCCCACGCCTGTAGTCACCTGCATGTATCTTCAGAGATCGATCTCAAAACATCTGAATTCATCCCCCTCATTTGACGACCTGTCCCCATCCCGCACTCCTTGTTGCCCTACTGTGCCGGCCCCCTCTGCCCCTGCAGCTGTGCGGCCATGCCGAGGATGTCGTCCAGCTCCGCACGGAAGCGCGCAATCTCGGCGTTCTTGGCTGTGAACGCCGCGGCCCACTGCTGCCGCTCCGCGTCCGCCTCCTCGGCCAGGATGCGCTGCGTGTCCGCCACCACCGCCTGCCACCGCGCCTCGCGCGCTTGGGCCGCCTCCTCCATCGCACGGAGCCGTGCCTCCAACGCCGCCAGCTGTACCCCGGTGCAAAACACACCAGTCAAAGCGGCAATCATGCAGCCTCGAACATTTTAAGGGCCACTCATGCTCCGACCACGTGGCTGTGGTGCAATACAATCCAGACATTCCGTTGTGGCGGCGGCCGGCCAGCTCTTGCACTAGCGTCCCCTTTAGTGGCAGGCAGCCCCCCAGGCAGGCAGCGAGCATATGCTAGTCACGCTGACAGCAATTTTGTTCCCCGATCCCCTCACCTGCGCCGCCGGTGGACCATGCCGGCCGCTCTTGAGGTGGCGGGTCAGGTGCGCCACCTGTTCCTGCAGCGCGCCGCGCGCCGCCTCCGCTGCCTCCAGCCGCTCGCGCAGCCCGAGGTCGGCCCCTGCGGTCCGCTCCCCGGCCTGCTGCTGCTCGAGCGCCGCCAGGCGGGCTGCGTGCGCCTCCTGAACGCAACGACACCACCAGCAGGTTAAGCAAACAAAGGGGAAGAAAGGCACGAGGGGGGGGCCGCTCGAAAGGAAGTATGATCAAGAAGTCAGTAGTGAGGTACGTAGGACCTTGTTCCACCACCGAAAGGAAACAACCGAAGCCCAGCGAATTACCTAATCACGTGGCGGCCACTTCTGCAAGTGAAGAAGTGACTCGTACTTCGGTTGAATCAATCTACTTGGATAACATCATTGTGCGAGGGGACTAGGCAGGGTAGACGTCACAAGCGGGCGGGTTGTCCCACACGAGATCTGGCAAGGAGCCGAGGCGCCATGCGCATGGTTCCCCGTCGCCTGTCGCACCTGCAGCTGCGCAACGGTCTGCTGGTGCTGCAGCCGCAGGACGGCGGCGCGCTCGATGGCCTCCTGCGCCTGCCGCGCCGCCAGGTCGCGGCTCAGCTCCGCCACCTCCGCGCGCCGCTGCAACGCCACCACCTCTTCGACCCACCCCTCGCCCGCCGCGCGAGGGGGCCACCCCCCCGCACGGGGCGCGCTGCCGCCTGGTGGTCCCGACTTGGACTCTACCCGTTGGTATGCCGCGTGCTGGTGGGCCCCGTCTGCGGGGTGGGCGGGCTCGTTCTCCGGGCCGCCTCTCTGGTGCAGCTGGGCGCGCAACTGCTCGTTCTGGCCGCGAAGCGCCTCCACCTCCGTGTGCAGCGCACCTACCGCTTCCGCGCCCGTGAACTTGTGCGCGCCCGCACCCTGGGCAGCATTGGGCGCGGCCTGTAGGGCTGCCAGCGCGGCCTCCTTACGCGCCAGGACGTCCTCCAACTGCACGGCCAGCATTTAGACGAGCCGCTGAAAATGACCTGGGGCGACACACAGATTCTAGATGCGGCAAGCCGTGGATCCATGCAATCATGCCCAGGAAGCTCACAATCCATAGCGTCGGCGAGCCCCTGCCGCATGTCTATTGGGGTCTGCACCATCTTGCACAATCAAACCGCGAGGCCCGAGTCACCTCCCGCCTCAGCCTTGTAACAGCTGGGACACGCAAGCAGCCGCTGCCCGCACCTGGGTAATGCGTTCCTTGGCGCGCGCCAGCTCCTTGGCCAGGCCCGCGCCGCGGCCGCCGTTCGCCGTCCCCGGCGTCCTGACAGGCGTGCCGCTGCCACCCTCCTCCGCCGGCTTGGCCGCCGCTCGCCCCGCCTCCTCCAGCTTCCGTTGCAGTTCCTGCCATACCCAGGACGCATGTCAAGGTCAGCCCTGCCAGGCGGGAAAACCACTACCTCTTCAACGTGATTCCAGCGACCACCACGAGTTTCACATGACAGTCAGAAGCAATCGGCAGCTGTTCGTGGCGGATGCCCAAATTGTTTGCCCTCCTCGGCGGCCCGGTTTGAGCCGTGTGCTGCCGCCCTGACCTTGACCTTCTTGGTGTAGAAGCCGCGCAGGTCCTCGACCTGCTTCTCCAGCTCCTTGACGCGCCCCGCGCTGCCCCCGCGCTCGCGGTCCGCCTTCTTGGCGGCGCGCTCCGCGAGCTGGGCCTGCGCCGCCCGCAGCCGCTCCTCGTACTGCCGCTTGATGCGCTCGTGCTCCTGGCGCAGCCCGCGCAGTGCCTGCCAACAGCGAACGGGCAGCAAGGCTGGCGTGAGAAACCTTGTCGGTGCCCACAAAGTCGACCCCCGGAACGAGACGTGCGTGTGCCACGGAAGACCCTTAAGCGCACGAGCAATCCCAATGTCCAGCATGCCGGCATTCTATCATTCAAAGATCAACAAGCCGAGCCTCAGCAAGAGCGGCGACGGGTGCCGGCACAGCCGGCGTCGTTCGGTTCCCCACGGCTGCCCATCCCGGCCTGTCCGCAGCTCACCTTGCTGGCGTCGTCGTCCTTGCTGGCATGCGCCGCGCGCAGCTGCTCCAGTTCCGCCCGCAGGGCCAGGGTCGCCGCGTCATCCGGGCCGCGCGTGGCCTGCACCAGCCAGGGCGCAGCGGACGTTAAAGGAAGCGGAGGGAACAGGCAACAGACGACAGCAGTGCGAGATACCGTCATGACGCGGACGCAACAGATGAAAGCGGAAAAGGCACTAACGACATCGGATTATAAGGACATTGCAGCCCTGATCCAGCACGGCCAATCGGATGAAGCAGACAGCAGCACAGCAAGGTGCCCCCTGTTCCATGCCCGGATTGGCCACGAGACAGCCGATCATGCGGGGCCAAGTGAGCTTACTTGGATGAGAGCGGTAAGAGAGTTTGGATCAGCACGCTGAGCAGCAAGAGACGCTTCTAGCTCCTTCACCTGCAGACAGAAACGAGTAAGAGCTCTTCACACGAGGAGGCAACACTAAAATTTCAAGAGGATGGAGATCCAGGAGGGGGTTCTCACAACGTCGAAGCACACCGGTGGGTCACTCCCCCCTACTGTCGACGAGGACACCGCCTCTGGCTGCCCGCTTCTCTAGCGTGGCACCTGTCCAGGCACAGCGGCTCGGGGCCGGCCTGGAGACCCACCTGCTTCTCGAGCTGGCGGATCCTGGCGGCCGCCTTGGCGGGGGCCACTGCCGCGGTGCGCGCCTTGCTGGCCGCCTCCACAGTGGAGGGGGCCGCACTGCCCGAGGACGCAGCGCGGAGCAGCGCCTCCAGCTCCACGATGCGCGCAGCCTGGGGGGCACCCACGGGCGGTGGGGTGAGAAACGGCATCACATGTCGACAGCGACGAAGGTGTTACAACCGGAATGGCACACACCTAACCGCCAGGGTTCAGTGCTTTTCTGACAAACTGCTAAATGGTGGCAGACGCCCGGTTGTACGACTCCCTATGTTTCTACCAGAGTCTTTCGTGCAATCGTTTCCTCGCGGCCCTGAGCCGGCTGACCTGCATCTTGATGGTCTCGTCCTGCTCCGTCACTATCGCCTGGTTCTCAGTGTACCACCGCAGCTTGCTCTCCAGCAGAGCCACATCCCGGCCGCGCGCCTCGCGCTCCGCCGCCAGCGCCTGCAGCACAATACAGGGCGGCCTCAGGACAGACGGGCGGCTAGAGGCACGACCCGCAACCGTTCAAAGCATGCTCCAAGCCTCTGTCTCCCCTGTGGGATAAGGCAGCATCGGCGCCTCACTAGACTCCAGCTCCTGCGGCTGACGGCCTTTCTGTCGGTGAAATCCGATGATAAGCGGGACCTGCGATCGCACGCCGCCTGGCTGACAATCGGCAGAGCCTCAAGGTGCGATGCACGCGCGTACGCTGGCCGCCCTGCCCCTGCTTGGGCTCACCTGGTTGGCTGCCGCGAGCGCCTGGTCCTCGTGCGCCATCTTGTGGGGGTCCAGTCCCGCAAAGCGCGCCTCAAGCTCCTTGCGCCCCTGCCGCGCACGGTCGATCTCGAACTTGAGCTCCACTTCGCGGCTCGCAGCGGCGCTCCTCACAGACTCCAGCTCCGCCTGCAGCAACAGCCAAACCCTCCATTCGACGACCGGGCAGTTGGCGACTTACAATACACGTTGCTTGCATGACCTCGCGACAATTATTGCGGCCACAAGTACGACCTTGATTGCTGCTCTGTCCACTCGAGCCACTTCCCCGCTGTGCCACATTAAGCATGTGAGTCCAGGGCGTGATGATCCTTCTATCGACTATGCAGCGCCTCAAATAGCACCCTCCTTCTGGTAGGTGGACCTGCATAGGCCCCCAGCTGGCCCCACCTCCAGCTGCAGGATCCTCTGGAGGTGGGTGGCGGCATCTGCGCGGCTCTGCTGCCCGTGGCCCTCGTTCTCGACCTGTGCGAGGTGGCCTGCCAGCCGCTCGTGCTCGCGCTGCGCGGCTTCCCTCTCCGCCTTGTGCCCCGCCTGCACCTCGCGCAGCCGCTCCACCAGCTTCTCGTTCTCCGCCTGGTACCCGCGCAGCAGGCCCTCCTGCTCCACCACCTCCTGCCGCAGCGCGCGCAGCTCCTCCCCCGCCAGCACCACCTCGCCGCCCGCCCGCATCACGCGCTCCCGCGCGCTACCACCCTCCAGCTCGGCCACCCGCTGCTCCAGGGCGGTGCGAGCGCGCTGCGCTTCGCGCACCCGAGCCTCTAGCTCCTGCATTCGATGAAGAAGCTTTCTTGCTCCAGAGGGAATCCGGCCGAGGGAGAACCCTCTGTCTGCACCAGTTCATGATTGCAAACAGCTGGACAAGTAGAGGTGGAACGACGTTGCAAGCCAACTGTGGCTCCATAAACGCTTCTAACCCGCATGGGCATCACTTTTGGCTGGCTGGCTCCATCCAGACGGCAGCGGCGCGTACCTCTCGCACTCTCTTCTCGTTGCGCTCCGCTTCCTTCTTGCAGTCGCTCAGGCGCTGCTGCATGGCCTGGCGGGCGGCCCTCTCCTCGGCCACCTGGGCGCGCAGCTCCTCCACGCGGCTGCCCAGGTTGCCCGATGCCACGGCCCCCAGCCGCCCGCTGCCGCCCACAGCGCTCTGCACAGTGACAGCCCCAGGATGATAGCAGGGGCCTGAGGGACCATTGCACAATGCAGGGTGGAAGCACTGGCTTGCATGCGGCTTCTTCGCTCCAGCCAACATATTGTCATGTCCAAATGCATAGAGGGCAAAGCCACTGCCTGCCCCAGAGTGTGCTTGAAGGGGAACTTGCTGGCAGCCCGTTGCCTTGCTTGCGGGTTCTGAAACAAAGGTGCTCTGTCTCTCTTACAAGTATTCACCTGCCGGCGGCTCTCTGTTGATGATGGCCGGGCTCTGGACCCTGGAGTGCTCTTGACGGGAGACTCCCTGGGGCCCCCCAGCGCGGAGTCAGTAATCTGCAGGGGCTGGGGCCGCAGCTGCTCAAGGGCCGCTTGGGGGTGGCCTGCCAGGGGGAAGCTGCTCCGCATCATCTGGGACGGCCCCCCCCACAGCACAGCCGCAGGGGGCACCACGTCCGCCTGCACCGGAGGGCGAATCACCTGCGCAGACGGAGCAGGGGCAACCGCTGCAGGGTGCCCATTCAAGCTGGCTGCTGCAAAGCTTTCCTTATGCACGCTCCCCGCCAGTTCGCCGTGTGTGGTGGGGGCACTGGCAGGGGCCCCATCCTGCAGCCCAACATGTTGTTTCTTGGCCTCGAAGGTGGCAGTCGGTGCTTTCCCTGTTCCAAAATAAGGCAAAGCATCTTGCTGAGGCCCCTTCTGGGCGGTATGCACAGCTGGCGCAGGCCCTGGTGGGGGCGGAGGGTGGCCGGGCCGGGCAGCGCTGCTGCTGGCAGGTGTCGGGGCGGCACTACTGGCCATCCCCTGCCGCTCTAGCTTGTCAAAGAAGCGGTGTTTCGCCCGTTCCTCTGCCTCCGAATCTGTCCCAAAGTCTATGGACGAGCTCAGCAGTACCCCCTGTCCCCCTCCGTCCACGCCGTCCTGTGAAGGGGAGTTGCTCTCCTCCTTGCCACCCTCACTCCCCTCCGTTGCTGCATCTCCATCCTCCGCGCCATACTGCCTCAGGCTGGCCAGCACTTCACTTGCTTCATCCGGAATGTTGGTCCGCACCGACGCACCGACCTCACCTTCAGAAAGGGACCCGGGGGAGTTGGGGGTGGAGATGGACCCATCAACAGAGCCAACCTCATGAGAGCCCTCCGAGTCGCCAACCTCAGACATCGTGGCGCACTGTCTCACTCGTCCGGGCTGGCATGACCAGCTCTGGTGGCAGCTTGACGGCAACAAAGACTGGTTCCGGGGTAGTGCTTCCTGTCGTACTTCCAGATGCGATTGCCCACTTGATTTCACTTGTGCAAGCAGTTGGAAGGTATTTGTGTATGATCAGAACTTGGTAGCACCTTGACATGTTCATTTGAACAGTTGGCGCGCCAAATTCAGCCAATCAGCAGGCCGCAACTACTCACGTGGTCTCGAAGGAAACCAATGAAATGATCGTCTAGCCCCATGCCTCTGAACTTGAGTAGGTACCTGAACCTTTATAGGTAGGCTTCAAGTTCAAGTTCAGGCTTCACTGGTGCCAGCAACAGAAAGGAAGGAGGATCTGTGAAAGTGGCGTGCCAGCCCACCAGCTTTCTCAGTTTCTCAGTTTCTAAGTTTCTGCGTCACAATAAAAAACGTCTCATCCTTCATGTAAATTGAGGGGTGATTCGGGCAAGTCCCCCGTCCTCTCGACAAGCAAGAGGAACTAAAGCTAAGGACGCGCTACAGTAGTGACCTTGCTGTACATTCCATTGTTGGTCAAAATGATGCAGCGTTCAGACTTAAAAAGCAGGTGAGAGGCTCTGCTTTCGTGGATTTTTTCGAATTGGACTGGCAAGACTTTGGTTAGACTACTAGTAGTAGTGGACAGCAATACATGGATGGCACATTCGATTGGACTGCTGATTAATACCAACTGCCCGTCTTTCTAGAGTGCTGTATGCGCGAGGCGTGCCTGTCGTTCACCACAGAGGGTCTCCAATAAGGCTTCTGTGACAGATGTAGCCGCTTCTGCCGGACGATTCAATCTCTCGCTCCCTGACTTGTCTTCCGACAGGTGGGTTGTACTTGTGTTGACGGCCGTCATCCTCGCGGGCAGTTACTTCAACTATGATGGGCCGGCAGCCCTCAAAGCTCCCCTGCAGGCAAGACCTTGCTCTTCATTGATGTGCTCTATTCAGATAGCCTGGCTGTAGGCTGGTGCAACACCCACAATGAGGCCCTCTCATGTCACCTCATTCTGTGCCAGACAAGGCCTGTCTTCACCAGACTTGGTGCCCTGAGCTAGCTGTCTGTCCATAGCCTGCTGCATAGCAGCGTGCGCTCGCGCCATGCCCCGGGTTTATCTGCAGCCCTGCAAGTGGTTGATGGTGGTGGCCCTGCGAGACCCCCCTGCCTCTCTCCTGCAGGAGACGCTGCACCTGAGCGACACCCAGTACAACCTGCTGTACTCAGTCTACTCCTTTCCGAACATCGTCTTGCCTCTCTTTGGGGGTTTGCTGGTCGACCGTTGCGGAACAAAAGCCAGTCTGATACTGTTCGTCAGCACTATAGTGCTCGGTAAGAGAGATGGTCAGGCAGCTGTTCAAATGGTCAATTGGTCAAAGAGTTTGGAACCAAGGTTTAGACGGAAATGTAGTGGGTCAAGTGTCTATGATTGCCCTCCAATCCTGCTCAACGGAGTTGTGTCTGTCTTTTGGTGCAATCTGAGAAAGGCAAGTCTGCAGCGCTGGCTCAATCTACTCATCCTGCAGGTCAAGGGATCTTTGCTGCTGGAGTTGCCCTGCGCCGCTATGACATTGCCTTGGTGGGGCGAACCGTCTTCGGCATGGGAGGGGAGAGCCTGACGGTGGTCCAGGTCAGGCGGCGGACAGGGACTCACCCCTGAGCGGGACCCAGGGACCGGGTTTGACTGCTGCTCGAGGATGGCGTGTCTGTACAGGACGCTCCCTACGGATGTCAATATAGATAATTGTACCGCTTAGCATCAACATAGGTAGTTCGACATTCTTTCGGAGGCTCATACTAATTCTGTCGCTCACCATTCTCCTCCCCAAACTCTGACGATTCTCTCAAAATTGTGTTTGGTGCAAGGACTCTTGGCTGGGCCCCAACTAACGTCCTGCTCGTTGTTGCTTCTGTCTGCAGACCACGATCCAGGCAGTCTGGTTTCAAGGGAAAGAGATGGCGTTTGCCATGGGGCTGGGCTTGACCGTGGCCAGGTTGGGCAGCGTGATCAACGATTGGGTAAGGGGCGGCCGCCACCCACATCCCCATGTCTGCACTGTTTGAGGATTAGACCGTGGCACAGTCTAGGTTGTATATCTTGGGTCTTGCCACGCCTGCAGTATCCGTCTCCTCTGCCACCTTGAGCCAGCTCGAGGTCCTCAGTTGAAGGGCTCGTCTGCTTTCCTGACTGGTTCTTGCGGCAGCTCATCTTACACACCGTGTGGTTTCATGTACCAGGTGATGCCCGCTATCTATCAGTCAGGGGTGCCGGGATTATTGCCTCCGCTGGAGCCAGCTTCAGCACTGTCGTGAGGAGTCATCCCTCCTCCCTCCCACACCGCAAAGAGCTGTGTCCAGAAGCAAGAACCGCATCACATATCACGTATCGTTCTCAGTTGCTGCCTTGGAAAGGGCCAGCTCCGAGAAACGTGATCGCTCTTCCTCGTCCCACTATGCTGGGGCCGACCTAGCGGTGCCCCCAGCACGCTGTGCCTTGTTGCTGTCCTCCCTCTGCCCTGCTGCAGCGGTTGCCTGTCCTGCTGTGAGCAGCTTTGGCTTCTTCATCACCCTGCTGTCCCTGGGGTGCGCGCTCGCGCTGCTGCTGCTCGAGGTGCGCACCGACCGCTTCCTGGCCGCACAGCACAAGCGCGAGCAGGCGCAGCCCCTCCTCCACGACACCGCCGCCGGCGCCGAGGTAAGCAGCGCGCGGCCTACCGCAGGGGCGGCTGCCCAATGTCCTTGAGCGGCGCTTGCTTGGGTGTGCCGGGTCAGAGCCACGGGACAGGGCCGGGCGTCTTATTTGCCTGGTTACTTCGATGGCCGCGCATTGACTGCGTGCTGTTTCACGCTGTTGCAGGCGGTGGTGGAGCACATGTCGCTGGCGGACATCCAGCACTTCTCCGCCTCCTACTGGCTGCTCACCGTCAGGTATTGCCCCCGCTACGCCCCTCGCCCCACTCGCGCTTGGGCTGGGCACGGCCCAGGGCGCACTGTTCTGTAGGTGACCAGTGCCAGCCGGTCAAAAGTTGTCAAACTGAGGTCAGTCGGGCCAGTCCAACGGAGTCATCTTGAACACGAGGTGCCGCTTGAGCCTGTGCCTGTGGTAGCTGCTGGGAACGGCCAGCGGGCATGGGGCCGAACTGCTGACACGTACTCTGCGGCGTTTTCCCTTGGCACAAGAGGGCGCCTGCAGCTAGAGTGGTAGGCCAGCGTGCGAGAGTTGGTGTCGGGGGGTGGTTGCTGGTGCTGGGGTCGAGTGACGTTTTCTGCAAACTCGCTGGGCTTGCACAAGGGATGTGCGGTTCAATGGTGTGGTGAACCCGTGAGCGAGAGTCAGCGTTGCCCCTCGCGGACGGCTGCCACTGACCGGCTCCTGCCCTGTGTCCCGTGCAGCTGCGTGGTGGTGTACGCCACCATCCTGCCGTTCAACAACGTGGCCGCGGGAGTCATCATGGTGGGGCTTCCCACCACACACTGCACATCCCTGCAAGGGCGCTGGCATGCAGCCAGGCGCACCAGATGGGCGGCTGTAATGCTGATCAAAATGAGACCGACACCTTCCGTTGCTTACACCAGTGCCGTGCCCAATGCCCGCCTGCAGGAAAAAGGTTCAGTGCAAGTGCGAAGGCCACCTTATGAAACAGCCGGTATGCAGAGAGGTCGACACTGATGCCATTGACGATCTTCCGGCCCACTCATGTTGCGGTGGCGGTGTCTGTCTGCGTGCTGACCCGTGGTGCTGCCGTGCGGTGTGCTGTGCGCAGGGCAAGTACGGCGTGAGCCTGGAGGTGGCGGACCGGCTGATGTCCATTCCGTACCTCATCGCGGCCTGCATCAACCCCTTCATGGGCACAGCTGTGGACCTCCTCGGCTACCGGGCCGTCATGCTCACCGCGGGCGCCGCCGCCCTTGCAGCCGTAAGCACGCTGTCCACCACTCTGGGAGTCGCCCGTCTTTCAGGCTGCCCACCTCCTCGCTGCTGCAGTCCTGCCTGCCGCCCCCAGGTCCCCCCATGGTAGCAGCACCCTCATGGTAGCCGGCCCCAGGGAGGGCGGCACACGGCGCTGGCAGCAGGCTGGTGCTGGAAGCCGTTGGGCGGGTCAGCAGAGTGGTTTGCCCTTTCCAACTGTTGTCTGCCCAGTCTGTGCGGGAGTGCTCGCCCGTCGCTGCCTGCTCCTCTTCCGCGCGCCTGACCCTGGCCCGCCCCGCCCTGGCAGGTGCACCTCTCCCTGGCGTGGACCATGGTCCCCGTCGTGCTGCCGCTCGTGGCCATGGGTCTCTCCTACAGGTGAGCACCCGGGTAACGCCAGCACCGCAGAGCATAACTTGGGCCTCTTGCCGACTTCTCCCTCGTCACACTTTTGTCGAAGACTCGGAGCTTGTCCTGACTACGCATCGCCAAGTTCGCCGGGCACCCGGGTCATCTGGTGTGCTCCAATTCAGTGCGGATGTGTCCGCCCCGCTCGTCCGCGCTCAACGGCTCCGCCTGTCCTGGGTACAGTGCGTACGCCGCGGCGATCTGGCCGTCCATTGCGCTGGTGGTGGACGGCCGCGCCATGGGGACGGCCTTTGGGCTGACGACGGCCGTGCAGAACGGCGGCATGGCCAGCATGCCCATCGCGGTGGGCACGCTGCGGGACACCACCGGCAGCTACCAGGTCAGCGCCGCGAGCGGGCCTCCCAAAAGTCGGTCTGAGACTACGTGGCAGCGCACGTTTGTGTGGTGTAGCACTGTTGTCAGGTGCATGTCGGCCATGGAAGAGAGCCCACAGGAATCTCGTGGGGCTCGTCGAGGGGCGTTAGAATTGTCGCTTTCAACTTTCATAGATCTCCGCAAAATGCAGTTGGCAGAACCGTCCTTTGATTCGCTGATGGCTTGATCAGACAAGGCTGGTCGTAGGGTGTTGAGCACGTCTTCGTCAAAATACTAGAAAACTGCAACTGCAGTGCCGAGATTTCCTTTCCATATCCTGTGCTTCGATGAACTGTGGTTGAGACCTACGTGAGTCGGTCCTGTTTTGGCAACAAGATACCATGGATCCTTGTCGACGTCGGCTGGTCTTTTGACGCGATGGTGAGTCATGTTGATCAAGGTTCAGCATGCGACAGATCTTTCTTGGTGAGACCCCCTCCATTAGTGACGGCTAGCCGTCACCGTCGTCTTGGTGATTGAGTCTCCTCCCTTGAGGGTCAGAAGGTGGAGGTGGAGGTGCTGAAGCCCTTTTCCGTGCTGCAGGCGGTGGAGATTTTCTTTGCGTGCGTGGCGATGGTTGGGGTTGCCGTTGGCGTCGCTCTCAACGTGGTGAATCATCGAGCCGGGGGCGGGCTGAACCGTGTTGCCAAGAGGAGAGACGCGCTGGAGAAGAAGCTGGAAGCGGTCATCCGGGAGGACCTCGAGGCGGACAGTCAAAGTCGATAGCAGCGCTACGAATTCGCGGATCATTGCCGTGACAAGGGGCTGATCTTCAGCATCATGGCATACAGATGGGTGCAGGTGCTTTTTGGCTATTTGACAGCGAAGGATTGAGGTATTGCGTGCTTATGGTCGACCATAGCAGATTGGAGGATGTAGTGGTAGATAGTTAAAACCTGAGCCTGTGAGGAAATGGTTGAGGATTAAGGGATATGTTGAGCAACAGGTATTGCACACCGTGACACATGCATGTATCATATCATTGCCTTCGGTTGAGGAGCAAATTTGGATTTAAGAGCTGATCGCGTAAAGATAGCGGACTTTATTGTCGGGATGTTGAGTTCGATCTACGATATAGAGTACCTTGTAGCTTTGCTAGCTCGCACAAACTCACATGCAGTGTATGTGATGTAGTAATTGTTCAAAATACAGCCAGGATTATCTCGCAGTTGGGCCCGGGGCGGCATGCGATGTTGCAAGTACGTCTGGCATGACACTTTACTGGATTCGTTTTGTATGATTGCAGTGAGCTGAGCGTATATATAAGAAATTCTATGTACAAGCCATTATAATGTGTCAATATCGACGATCTTAACATGTCTGAGCGAGCCGCGCGGAGTTATCATGCGCTAGGACCAAAGGCACTCAGACGGTCGCATGCAACCGTACTTGCACTCCATTTCGGGCGCCGTGCACGTTGCCATTATATGGCATAATGCATGTGCTCGAGCCTGGTGTTCACGCCGACGACGGTTTTGTCAATCAACGGTACGTTAGCGCTGCACATGCATGTGCGGCCGGTAAGTTGCGCAGTGATACATGACCCGGCTAAATCCCTATCACAAGCAACTCAAATTTCATTTTACCCGTGAAAACGGCCCACGATAAGGTTAGGTATCGACCGAGTTCGAACCACTGGTTTCACAGTGGGTTTACCACTCAAATTGACGGTTTCGAAGGGTCCTGCCGGCGGCAAACCTGCTTAACCTTAAATTCTGCCTCAAAACCGATGTTGGGGTTCACATATGGGTTAGTTGCAAGTATTCTATCCGCGTGGAATTTCTAAAACCGGTCAAAAACTCAAAAAATGAGCCCTAATTGCTCATTTTGCCCCTAAAAAAGGCCCTGACATGTCAAGACGTCAACAAGATGTAAAGTGGTTTCTCCAAATTCTCGCTTGAGGGCCCTGACGACCTTTTCGTGGGGAACCCACAGCTTCAAACACAGCATCATTTGGTAAAGTTTCGACCCCTTTACAGCTTAAAACGTCCCCCTAGGCAACTCAGAACAGCTCGCGACGGCTTAGGCTGGGGACCTCGCGACCAAGTCCCGCTCGAAATCCGGGCGATTAAAA